TTCCCCTTTTCCTCCCTGCTCCGACTTGGTTATGCCACTGCTGCTGCGAGCTGTCGAGTGGCCGCTGGGCCGGGCCGGCCGGCCTAATATTTGTTTTAAGTGAACGAGGCGCATCTCTTTCTCGAGTGGAAGTCCTAGTCGTCCTCGCGGCCGTGTTTGTGAGCGACGAGCGGCAGCAGCAGCCTTTATTAATCCGGGTGTAGCCGGCCCGGCCCCCTCACCCTCGCCTGCCTGCGAGACAATATAAATGACGGCCCTGGTAATTAGGATAGTAATGAACGGTGCGTTTGCCCCTACCCCCCTCGTCCGCAGCCTCTCGTCTCACTTCACTCGCCTGGCAGGTCCATTTCCTGAGCAAGTATCAGCGATCCTTCAGTTTATACGGACCCAGCCGCCGCTGCTGCCGGCGGCGGCGAGCGACGAGCGCGCGCCAGATTACTCTGCAGAAACTGTTTCCTCTTTGTCCTCCGCAGCGTCCCGCGCGACTCGCTGGCGTGTGTTAGAGATGTAGTGTTTGTGGGGGAGAGAGGGACAGACTTACAGAGAGAGCGCCGCGGGACGGTCTGTTTGTGCGGCGGTGCCAGCAGTGACGTGCTGGGGTCTGCGCAGAGCCGCGCAGTGAGCCGCCGCTGCGGGGAAGAAGAGGAGGAAGTGACCACATGCCCAACCCCTCCCCCTCACGTCCCCCCTCCCACTTGCCGTCAGTGTTTAAACCGACGCTAGCTCCACTTAACTCCAGCTTACCGCGCGGGGTACGGCAGCGCGGCGCGGCAGTGTTGCCTTTCGCCGCCCCCGCCCCCCCCCTTTCCTCCTCCCCTCACGTCATGTGTCCCCCCTCGTGACTCTCCTCCTCCCCCCAGCAGCGTGGGTGACAAGGGGCCGGGTGGTGCGGCCCGGCTCTGCCCCTCGGCTGCTGCCCGGCTGCGTGTGTCACATCTTGGCCACACACGGCGCGTGCTGCGCGCGGCCCTGGCCGGCTTTACCCTCTCCGCCAGCGTGCCGCCCCAAGGCCGGCGCGGTTTACGCCGCCCGCTGTATGTACGCTACAGCTCGCCCGTTGTTTCCTCTTCGCAAAGGGTGGAAAATGCTTGTCGCGATGGTGGGTGTTGTCGCCGTGCTGTACGATAACGTCCACCCACGCACGGTAAAAACAGTGTCTAATTTTTTCTGAGGAAAATGAGGAAAACTGTGAGGAACTCCCATATTTGAAGGGAAACTACTATGATTTCAAGGAAATCTTCTATTAGCATAAGGAAATTCCCACATTTTTGGGGGTAGTCTTCCTCAGAAACCTTTTTTTCTAAAAAAAAAAAACAAACAACTAAAAACAACAAAAGCAGACATTCTTACCCTGCACGTGCTAAACGTTAAGTATAAAAGTTGCCTTCTTCCAAATATTATTTTAATTTTAACTCTTCTCTTTCTTTGTTTCCAGTCGACAACTACAGTTCGGAGACCTTGCCGCTCGTGCGGATCACTCGGCAGCAGATGGGCGCCTACCTCTGCATCGCATCCAACGAGGTGCCGCCCGCCGTGTCAAAGCGCATCAGCCTCAACGTCAATTGTGAGTTAGCCCATTTTTTATACACTAAGCTATCCACGAGATATAGTTACAGAAATTCCTAAAAAAGGGAAGTTTAGTTAACATGACCTGCTTGCAAACTAGCCGTTTGTAAACACAAACTAGCTACTTGCAAGCTTTCAAACAAACAGCAGAAAATCGTAAATCACAAACAGAACAGTTTGTAATACAAAGGATGTTTGCCTTGCATGATTGCAAATAGCGTGTGAGCGTTTACACTGATAAACTAAGTGTGCAACTGCAAGTAGAATACTTGCAAGTGTTAAGCAGTGTTAAGCAGTTGCACACACACTTAGTTTATCAGTGTAGGTTTTAACGGTGTGGCCCCACCGCACGTGTCGCGGTGTGTGCCGCCGTTATGTGGCGCGGAGGCCCTCCTTGTGGTGGGCCCACGGCCCCGCGCACAATGCCCGTGTTCCGGGGAGTATGTATTACCGGCGGGACATTCATTCTACAGCCGCCCCCTCCACCGCCACTGCTATGGACCACGCACCGGCCCCTCCGCGTGCCGCTTATTTCCACTCCAGAACTACTCCAGCAGCGTCGCTGGGCGCTGCTGGGCGAGCAGGCGAGTCGTGTCCGGTTGCGGGGTGACCAACAAAGCGCGCGGGGTCCGTTCGAGAGCCCCTTCTGCTGGCTGCTGCGAGCGGCCTGGAGCGGGCAGAAGCCCCCCGCCCTCCACACTCTCATCCTGTTACTGATTTTTTTCAGCTTTTGTCAGTATTCCTGCTGCGCAAAAACCTTTATAAGCGACTGACAACTGCTTTCATCAGTAATACGAAATAATTTCTTTTTTAATTACTGACACTGTTTTCTTTTATCAGTGAGCTACTTACAACGATATCCATAATAAGTAACAAATTAGTCAGTAATCCTGCTGCATAAAAACCTTTATAAGCTACTAATAAATAAATCAGTACAGGTCTGAGAGTGCAGAGTGTCGGGGCGCGGCGCATTGTCGCAACAAACACCTCTCTCTCTCTCTCTCTCTCTCTCTCTCTCTCTCTCTCAGCCACTGCTAATCCGCTGACAGCGCCGAGCCGGGCGGCGGCCGAGGAGGCGCAGTGCGCGGGACGAAGAGGCCGGGCAGTTGCTCTCCGCTGTACAGAGGGACGGCCGTCTCATGGGGGCCCTCTCGAGCCGTCGAGCAGGCCGCTACAGCGGGCTCCATAGTCCTGGCCGCACCAGCGTCCTCCAGAACACCCTCCCTCACGACAGTCTTCCAGAGCCTGTGTTCACGATAGAATTGACACCCACAAAATCGTTTGCTTACCAAAACAAAAATAAACTAGGCACTTATTTTTTCAGCTTGATTTTAACAACTAATTTATATGACCTTAGTTGAGATAAACTAATTGATGAAACATCATTAGTTAGCGAAAAGCATAACACTATTGGATTGATACACGTAAAATCAATCTGCTATCTACGTAGACTTGTTTAGTAGGAATGTTCGAATATTCCTGTTTGATCAAACAGTGAAACAGTGTGTGTAATTTCCGAGTAATTTCCCTTAAATTTTCATCCTATGTCCCGAAATATGGGTAATAATCTACAAATACATTTTTCTGCAGAAAACAGTCAGTATTCATACCTAATCCCAGAGGCCTACCCTACCCTGCAGGGTAACAACATATTGCGCATGTGGCGTCCGCGTACGCACATACATAGGCAAGAGATTTTGTTGAGATGTTTACAGGTTGCACGTGCAAACGGGGAAACATGCACTGCTCGCTCAACATCATGGGGGGTAGCGTTGAGGGCAGCCGGTGCCTTTACTCAAGGACGGATTATCCCCCACCCACGCCCCCAACCCCCATCCTCTTTTCCTCCCCCCTGCCCCCGTCACCGGAGCCCGAACCCTACTTCGGTCCGGCCTCCGCCGGTCCAGACAGCCCCCTCACCCGAGCGGGACTAGCAAAATATAATTATACTCGCCCGGGCCGGAGGCACTCTGAAAAGTAGAAGTCGGCTGTGCCGGAGCCGTGTCGGTCACGGTAAGCCACAGAGGGGGGAGGCAGCTGCGTTAAAGACGTCATATAGGGGAATCGTGCTCAGGCTTGACGAGTAGCGGGGGGTTTCCGCGCAAAACAACAAATTTATCAGTAATTTTGTTTTTAAAGCATCTCTTAACGTTCCCAGCAATTGTTAAATGGTACACATGCCTGATCGAGGCCAAAACTCATTTGGGCAGATATGGTGCTTTTTTACCGTACCCTTAGTCTACAAGAAAAATTGAACTTTGTCAGGATAGTTTTGACAACGTTTTACGTACCGACCTTTAGACATCGTACATTAATGCACTTCGTATCGGGTCGCTCGCCGTTTGTCCATGTAAGTATGACTGTACTGGAGTAGCAACTAAGTACGTTGAAATGTGCGCCGCGCTGGCTGGCGAAGCTATCTCCTCTGAAGCCAATCGACGCGTCCGGCGAACAAAGGCGAATCTGCGGAGCGCCCGGTAACAAAGGCGAATCTGCGGAGCGCCCGGTAACAAAGGCGAATCTGCAGAGCGCCCGGTAACAAAGGCGTATCCCCATAAGAAATCCTACACAGATTCGCCTTTGTTACCGGGCGCTCTGCAGATTCGCCTTTGTTACCGGGCGCTCCGCAGATTCGCCTTTGTTACCGGGCGCTCCGCAGATTTGCCTTTGTTCGCCGGACGTGTCGCAATGTGCTTAGAAATCTCACCCACTCAATTTTTGAAAGCCTATGGTCTACTGCAACTAATGATTCCCGCGTTTTGAGTGTAGCATCATTCAAACCGGAGCTACGACGCCTGGAACGCCGCAGACCAGTTTTCTGCCATCTGCCACCGGTGAATGTAGAAAGAGACAGTCAGGAAAGAAAAGTCAGGGAAATTGTTCCGACGGTCATGGGGAATCCAGATGTGTCGTGGATTAGGGTCGCTCGAATACTGTTTTGGTCTGAGTCGGAACATTCTTATTTTTCTTTTGTTTCTTTCGTTGAAAGTCTTAATGACTAATGACTCGCTAATATTTCATTGCAAAAATACATTACGATTTCGAAACATGATGGAAATTTATAGAAACGTAAGCGGAAATTTCAGGAGCAAAAATGTAGGGAACCAGTGGCATTTCTTCTCTCCTCTGTCACATTCTCCTTCTCACGGTTCGCCCCCAAATGTCTTTGTTTGCAGTTGCACCCACCATTCACGCGCCCAGCCAACTGCTCGGCGCGCCTGTGGGCACAGACGTGACGCTCGAGTGCAAAGTGGAGGCCTACCCCAACACGATGAACTACTGGGAGGACCACAAGTCCACCATCCTGCTCAACGGGTGAGTGAGGGGGACGCGGCCCGCGCGGGCGGGCGCCTGGCAGGCGGGCAGTCCCGCCGTGCCACGGCGCGCGACGGGACTGCCTACCCGCCCGATGGCAGGGGCCGTAGTGGAGCCATCGCCCCGGACATCGTCAGTTAATTTATTGAAATTTTTGAATTTGGGTGCTATTTACACACTAAACCCTTCTACATTTTGCTGTGCCTAAACATGCACAATTTCATGCGTAAATATTTACACTTGTACAACATTATGCATAAAAATTGTGTATACTTAGGGCTGCGTAAAATCTTGCATGTTTTATGCACATGCACAACAAAGTACATAAGGGTTTAGTGTGTACAAAATCTTTGTTTATCGTACATCTCCAAGTACGTTCAAATGTCAGTACAATGAAAAACAGTACATTCATTTGTTTCTTCTTTTTAAATAATACCAAAAGCTGCAGTCTTTTTCTGCGTACTATCAAAATCACAAACGCGGGACGTGTTTATAACGAGATGATGTTGCAGATCCAAGCACGCGGTCAGCGAGAGGCGCGAGAGCTACCACGTGCACATGTACCTCACGGTGCTCAACCTGACGCTGCGCGACTACGGCGTCTACCGGTGCATATCAAAGAACAGCCTCGGCGCGGCGGACAGCACCGTCAGGATTTACGGTGAGTGTGCGGGTCGCGGGTCGCTGCCATTTCTAATTCGACCCTGAAAATGTTAACTGGCCTAAGACGGTGTTGACGACTCCGGCACCGCGTGATGAAAGGGCGCCCCCCCCCCTTTCCCTTCCTTCCTCCTCCCTCCACTAACTCGCTGCCAGCTGACTGCTCCATCCGTGCTGCTCAAGCTGTGGCTCAGCGGGCGTGGCTGGGCGTGGCTGAGCGTGGTTGCAGTCAACCGAACCACAGCGCGCCCCCGCCCCAGCCAAGACGCCTCAACACCCTCGCGACCCTCGCTTGGCCGCGTTTGCTCCCCCTAACCCTAACCCCCGTCTCTCCCTCTCTCTCCCCTTCCCTCTATTCCTCTTCCCTCTCTTTCCGTCACACGCACTTTCTCTTTCCACATCCGTCTGCCGAAATGGGATTCAGTCAAGAAAATATCTACCCAAGCACTTTTTCTCCTTTGAAACAACGAGGGTATACGAACTACTTTATTTCGCAAGCTGTTTTTTTGCCGTTTACGGTCGAAAATTGAATCCTTCTCATCATCGCAAGTGCGTCGCTTCGGCGTCCCTCAGACCCACCAACCCACCACGATTTGCCCGAATGTAAATGGGTTCCTTTGCCTCGCATTTGATTTCGTCGGCCTCGGCGCTGAGTGCAGCTGCGGCCAGCCAGCCCTCGGCCCGTGCCCAATACAATCTCAGGCCATTGGCCGGCCTCGGTCCGGCCGGGGGCCGAGGCCGGCCAGCCAGCTGCAACCAACAGGCCAGTGGTGCCAGATAGCTGAGAAGGCCCCTAGAACTGTTGCTCCCATCGTAAACTCGTTCGGGCGTAACGCGACAGCAGTGCTATATCCTCTCATCTCTTCTGCCCCTCCCCCTTTCTCTTTCTCTCTCTCTCTCTCTCTCTCTCTCTCTCTCTCTCTCTCTCTCTCTCTCTCTCTCTCTCTCTCTCTCTCTCTCTCTCTCTCTCTCTCTTCCTCTCACCCTCTCCCTCTGCATAGGGCCGGCGCGTTTGAAGGGTCACCGAAACGGTTTTGGCTGGAGAGGGGTCAGATGGACGCCTGGGTGTGTACTCCCTCTCTCTGTTTCTCCCGTTCTATTTCTCTCGCTCCTTTTGGCAGTCCCTCTGTCTCTTCCTTCCCCATCTCCCTCCCCCACCCCCCATCCTACCTCTCTTCGGCCCTGACCAGGTACTCGAATAATCCCCCCCCTTCCCCCCTCCTCCTCTCATTCCGGAGCGCAGATAAACACCAGCAGCTTACTGCTTGGGGCCTCCGCGGTAACTTTGCAATACTATAGATCAACAACTTTGCGGCGGCCCCCGCAGCATATTCAGTACCCGATCGCTTTGGGGCATCGGGGCCCAGGTAAACGTAATGTGGAGGTCCGAGCAGGCCCTCGGTCCGGCCGCACATCAGGGAGGGGGAGAGAGAGAGAGAGGGGGGGGGGGGGCCTTCGTGAAATAGGCGATGGTTTGGTCAAAACTGTGCGACTGCATGCAGTTAATTCTCCTTGTCGCAAGATTATCTCTTAAATTCCTATGCGTGTGTGATCTGAAATGAAAGTTAACGGCAACCATTTATAGTTCACCGTAGCGACTGTATTCAAATGATGTAGTGGTTTTTTTTTATGTGTGTGTGTTAGAAGTCTGCGTGGCTATCCCGCCGCTGGTCCCCGGCCTTTACCACACCCGCCACCAGACCAACACCACCACTTGCAAACTGACAGCCTCATCGCCGAGAGGCATCACTACTGCCCGTATCTGTGCACTACTCTGGCAGACGGATTGGTCTCCCCCGCCCCCCTCCTCTCTTTCCGGCCGGGTTGGGTGTGGGTGGTGGGGAGGAGATCGGGTATAAGCCGTCGATTGAGACGAGGGTCCCACCGGTCCCGCTGCTATTACAGCCTGGAATGGCTAGGTGGGTGGCCGGGGTGGTTACCACCGCGCGTCCTAAACTACTGCCAGGACTTTGGCACAGGGCACCGCGCTAATACACTGCAAACATAAACTGTTTAACCGAAGTGGATGCCAGCCTCCCCCACCCACTACCCCCAAGCCTTCCCCTCAAACCACCGCTGATTACGTTTTCGTGACGGACTGTGAAAAAGTTTGTCATTCCGAGTAGTAGTGTGGTGCCGCGGAGGTACGACCTCCATCCCCCCCCCCCCTCTTAGCACGTTTTGTAAAATGATGGGGCAAGTTTTGCTCCGTAATATTTGTGACGTCGTCGTCGTCGGAGTGAATTCAAACGTCGTCGTCTGAAAACTTCCGTGACAGCTTGTGGCGAGCGTGGCTGAGCGTGGCGGGGGGG